TCTTAATGTGGCAGTTCAAAGAAGAGTGTTGGCAGATGATTTACCTAGTGATAAGCCTAAAGCAGATATTTTGAAGGTACCTAATAGTGAGTTTTTACCTAGCAGGGAAGAGTGTGAAAGTTTCCACATCAATATGATCTATCATATTGCATTAGTTGTTACTAAGAACATTGACTGTCTGCAGCCATTTGCACAATGTGTCCCCAAATATATTGACCATCCGTATTTGAAAGAGCTGTCTGAAAAATCAGTGTATAACATTGTAGACCTACTCGATAAAAGTGAAAATAAGTCTGATGACATGATTTCAATTCTTGAACATGTGCATAAACATTATGTCCCACATTCTGGTGAAGATATTGTAGAGAAAATTGTATTTGGTGGGGATGTCCTCACCAATGAACGGGCATACTCTAGCCAGCTGGCTATGATAAACAATGAAAGTGATTTTAGTCGCCTTACAGGAATTGTTCATAGGCCAGAGGGTCTCCATCGGATCATGAATTTACTCTTGGTATCCAGTAAAACAATTATTCCCTGTTCAAGATGTTATTGATGTTTGCATTTTCTATATTGAATTTCATATTGGATGCTTTATTTTAGTAAGTTTTAGTAGTTTTGTTACAGCAATGTTTTTCAGACATTGGTGAAGGTCCTTTTATTCTTTCATTCTCCCCCCCCCCCCCCTTTTCATATGAAATGTTGATTATATTTCTATAAATTTAATCATGCATTTGATTACATTTTTACTAATTAAGCATGCAGTTGATTGTATTTTTACTAATTTTATTATGCAGTTATTTCTCTTTTAATTTGGATTTCACAACTATTAATAACTACCAAATCACCGTAAAAGCCAAAATTAAAAAAAAATGAATTTAGTAATATAAGCCAGAGTTTAATTTAATAGTAATTTGAATTTAAATTTTGTTATTTACATTTTCGACATTATTTGCAAATTGATATATTAGTATTTAACATAATTAACAAATGTTAAGGATCTCTAAAATTCTATATTCAGACCATTTATCAGCAATTCTACAAGCCTTCATCAGCTGCAGATCAAGGGACTTTGTTTCAATTGCGCAATGTCCTGCAGAGACAAGACGTTAGTGGGCCAGATGGTGTCACTGAGAATTTTAGGTAAATCTCTTTTATTAGGGCCCCGCAAGGATTTGCGGGTGCCCTATAGTAATCACTCTGTCTGTCCGTCTGTCCGTCTGTCTGTCTTCCGTCCACAAATTTTCTGTTTTTTTCTAATAACTTTTTTTGTGGTTGCCCAATCAAGTTCAAATTTGGTATGGTAGTTCAGTAGGCAGAAATACATATTTTGATGCTAAGTTTGAATCTCAATGTCTTCTGGTTTGGAGCTGGGGTGGTGGGGTAGATTCCTTAACTATGCATAAGAATGAATAGGCAACTTTTTTTATGGTTGCCCAATCAAGTACAAATTTGGTATGGTAGTTCAGTAGGCAGAAATACATATTTTGATGCTAAGTTTGGTTCTCAATGTCTTCTGGTTTGGAGCTGGGGTGGTGGGGTAGATTCCTTAACTATGCATAAGAATGAATAGGCAACTTTTTTTATGGTTGCCCAATCAAGTACAAATTTGGTATGGTAGTTCAGTAGGCAGAAATACATATTTTGATGCTAAGTTTGGTTCTTTATGTCCCCTGGTTTGGAGCTGGGGTGGTGGGGTAGATTCCTTAACTTTAGAATGCATTGGTAAAGAGAGATAACTGCTGAAGATGTTCCCATTGTAAAATGAAAGCTGGCTATGAGTCCCTTGGGATTAATTAGCTTTCCTCCTGAAGAAAATCCAGAGCATTATCTTTATCTGTCACATTGAGATGAATTACCACCTCTGTCTGCAAATGAAGTTTGTTTTGAAGTTAAGTCAATTTGGAATGCTATGAACACTGTGAAATGTGGATTTAGATATAAATTTTTATAATTTATTTTTGTTTAATAGTTATGATCTCATTGAATTCTAAAAACAAGAAATAGATTAAAAGAAGATTTTTTTATTTACTTTTTTCACTTAATGTTAATTAATTTTTAATGTAGTTTTATAAAAACCCCATTCTATCATTAATACTGAAAAAATTCTTTAAATATTGTAACTTTAGAAGAAAATGATGAGAGAGGTACAATTAATCCTTTGGGATCAATTATCTAGCCTGCTGCAGAAAATTTAATAGGCTTTTCTTTATCTTTAAGATTAATGAAAACCTTTGTCTGCAACTGCTGTTTGTTTGAAGTTAAGGTCAAGCCTTCATGATATTTGCATTCATTGAAGGCTGGCATTCTATATAACACAAGCTTCATAATTGTTTAATACATTCAATGCTAAGTTGTTCTTCACTGTCTAATGTAAATACAAGGATATTATTTTCAGGTTTTTGAATATTCAGGAATTATCTTGAAATTTTAAGAATACAGTTGCTGTTGCTTATTCTTCGTACATTTTTTAATCATTCCGTAAGCTGCACCCTTTTAATTCTACCCCATGGCGGGGCCCTTGCTGACTGGTCAGTTTTCTAGTATTATAGTAAGTAGTTTATTGGGAGTTCTGGGAGAGTAGTATATGCTTCACAACTGTAGGTCAGTGGCCTGAAAAATTTGGATGGATCATCAGAGGTTTATTAAAATATTTCTACACTTTAATACACAGATCTGTAGACAGAGTTACCTACATGTTCTATATGAATTAAATATAGCTCAAAGATGATTACTAAAATGATACTCAGAATCACATTTTTATACGCCCGTCTTCAGACGGGACGTATTATGTTATAGGCTTCGTGTCCGTCCGTCTGTTAGCTTTTTCGTTTCCGGCTCATAACTTGAATACTATTAGGCCTAGGATTATCAAACTTTGTCATCTGATGCGTCTTGGGTAGAAGGTGTGTCGCGCACAAAAAGTAGGTCGCTCTGACCTTTAATTAAGAAGTTATAGCCAAATATGGAAAAATCCTTTCCGGCCCATAACTAGAAAACTATTAGACTCAGAGTCATCAAACTTGGCCATTTTATGCATCTTAGGTAGAAGGTGTGTCGCGGCCTATTTCAAGGTCACTGTGACCTTTCATTTAAGTGATTTTTTTAAAACTAAGTCTTTAAAATTTTAAATTTCATAATCCTAAAAAATGCAAAAATATAGTTGTATCCTTGTTTAAAAATGTTAAATCAAGTAAAAACTTATTTTTTAATTATATGCTTTACAGCAATCTGTAACAAATGTTAATGTTTTGAGAGGAATTCAGTTTGTCCCATGGGCATAATTATCAAGCACTGGTCAAGAAGAATTTTGATAGCAGAAATAGAGAGAAATTAATGAGTTTATTGCCAGGCACTAAGTGGTAGAGCAGATCTCTGAAAATGCAGCTGTTATCTTTATCTTTAATCTCTTGGGAGTTGGGCAAAAAGAAATGGCCTCATAGTTGCTTGTGTTCATTAAGAGTTCTTGATGGCTAGTTCAGAAAAAGATCTTTCAATTGGTGTAATGTAATTAAAACAAATTGATGCTTTAAAGTACAGTGTATGATAAAAACTAATTTAATATTGTATAATATAATTAAAACTAATCCTTATGAAAAGATGTTAAATTAAGTAAAAACTTATTTTTTTTTCATCATTTACTTTAACAGCAATCTGTAACAAATGTTAATGTTTTGAGAGGAGGAATTCAATTTGTCCCATGGGCATAATTATCAAGCACTGGTCAAGAAGAATTTTGATAGCAGAAATAGAGAGAAATTAATGAGTTTATTGTCAGGCATTAAGTGGTAGAGCAGATCTCTGAAAATGCAGCTGTTATCTTTATCTTTAATCTCTTGGGAGTTGGGCAAAAAGAAATGGCCTCATAGTTGCTTGTGTTCATTAAGAGTTCTTGATGACTATAGTCCAGATAAAGATCTTTCAATTGGTGTAATGTAATTAAAACAAATTGATGTTTAATGTATGATTAAAATAAATTAGTATTGTATAATATAATGATAACTAATTATACATGTGTTCATTGAAATAAAATTACCGAGGTACATTTCAATTTTTATATATTTGCAACAAATTGCAGTCACCATGCCTCACTTAGAATTTTATAGTCTAAAGAATAATTTATTTTTGTTTTTTTTTATTAGACTGTAGCATTTCCATTATTCCATTAAATATGCAATAAACAATTTAAGCTGCAGATGGATATTTGTTAAGTTCTAACACAGCCAGGTTAGAATTATATGATGTATTATTTGTTATAATTAATTCCTTCACTGTAAGTCTCTTAGAGATGTATGTACAATATTTTAAACATGATAAGAAATGGAAATTAGATCATTGAAATCTGTGTCAATCTGTTAATCAAGGTTATCCGATTTTCTTGCACCTTAACCAATTTATGATTATTGAACAATATATTTGACGGGCGTATCATGCTGTGGCGGGGCACTTTATTACTCCAACAGGTCTCACATGACATTCATCAGGGACTGTTTAGATGCCTTTCTCCTCACAGCCTGTATGGAGGTGTTGGACATCAAGAGCCTTGATGAAAAACCTAAAAGGACCATTCTTCCAGAATTATTACATCTTCAAAGTAAATAAGACCAGTATGATTGGATAAAAGAGCTTTGTTTCCAGATCTTGGACACTTTTGTCTACATTGAAGAAGGTATTTAGAAGATGACTGATTTGGGTTCACATTCTATCTGCATCTGTCTATCTGTAAATGTGATATGACTTTTACATCTGCATCATATAATACCTACATGTAATTGTCAGATTAAAGCCATAATTCATAATTCAGATTATACTTATCCACAATGAAGTTGTTGGATACTTTTGTCATGTTCAGGATGAGGGGTCAGGATCCTAATATATTTGGCTCAGTCAAATGTGTTGTGCTGTTATAGTAATTTTTGTTGTGTTTGGCAAGGAGAGATATCATGTATGTGACCTAAAACACAGTAAAAATTTAATTTGCGGATAGTTTGCCAACTGTCACAGCACAAGCTGCAGAAATGGACAACAAGGAGCTTTTGATGAGTGAAATGTATCAAGATGAATCAAAGCAGTATGTTTGCACCTGTAACCGAAAGTACAACACAAAAGGTCACTTCAAGAGACATCTGCAAAATGAACACAACTTGGTGTTTCATAAAACAGAAGAGGAAACTCCCGAATCAGCAACATCAAAGCAAGACCACATAGCTCTGTGGCGTTCATCATTTATGAAACTTGCATTATTACTTATGGACACAGAGGATGCTTTCAAATTTGGTGATGGAACACGTATATTTAGAAATGCAAAGTTTGAAATGATGTGTGCTGATATTGCTAACCATTCCAAATATAAACTGTGGCTTTGGAGACTCTTAGCCTACGAGTGTTCTCTCCTATCACCACGTGAGGCATTTGAGTACAAGTGGAATTGTTCCTCAAATATTCATGGAGGGACTGGGAAAAATATCCCTAATGACAATCTCGTTGAAATATGCGTACATGTTATAAAGAAGAAAATGAGACAGCAGGGTGCAAATCTAACTTATGAAAGTGCTAAGAAGATTGCCTCGTGTGTGCAAATGCAGGAAGAAATAAAGTCCAGTGTTCAGAAACAGCTTGGCATGAAAACCTCAGGTCAATCCAGACCTACTGTGGATAAGAAAAAAGATCTTCAACTGATCATTTTGGAACTTAAAGCTAATGACATTTTCAGTTACCTTCCTGGGAGGGAATTCAGTGCTTTTAAAGTTTTCAGGACATTTTTTCGCGTGTTAATGTGGTTCAACTTCACAAATGGATAACAAAACAAAAAGAAAGAGCAAGTTATGAACAGTAACAGTTTGATGTGTTTTTGTGTGATTTGTCATGTTCATAATTAAAATATCAATCAAACTTCATTCTTTTTTTTCATCAATTAACATGATCAAGGTGGGAAGGAAGGAGAAAAAATATGTTTACTGTTAATTGGAAAGAAAACAGAGAGATAGGATTCTACGAATTACTGTTTAAAGAAAATTGACAAAAATACACAATCATATAAATCAATGGTCAAATATACTGATCATTTTTAATTTATATATACATGTATTTGAAAGCTATTTCATTGCCATGTTTTAATATTTTTGCTTGCCATAGTGGTACACGATATGACCAGCAGATTTTCAAAAGTGAAAGTTGCATTTTGGCTTTCTTCATATGTACCTATTATTAGTATTAAAGTTTTATTGACATAAAAAGTATAGAAGTATTTTCTTTAAAAATAAAGTTTGTTCCTAAAGTATGGGTCAGTCAGGTAATGCCATTCCAAGTTATTTCTATGATTAGCATGGCCGCCTAGGTTTTTGACACCCAATATCAGAAAAAACAAACAAAATCGAAAGAACCAAAATCGATTATTCTGGTTGACTTCTTTGAATTTGGCCATTTTCTGTAATGATTTGTCTACAATATGTCGTATTAGGTATATTTTAAGCATTAAATAGCTTAATTTTGCTAAAGTTAAGGTCTTTCTACAAGAAAAAAAATTTGAAATCAAATCCTTTGACTGACAACATAGGAAAAACTTTGAATGGCCTAAAAACATTTTTTTTTTATGTTAGACCTAAAGCAAACTGTATCTAAATCTACTTTCAACATTTAAATGAAAATTTGTGAAATTGATCATATATTATAATTTCTACCTGTGAGTATCGATGATTTTAGTTAACCTTTCGTAGCTTAACTATTTATTGAAAAAAAATGTCATTGTATTAAAAGAGTTTTCAGAGTCTTGCAATATTACCAGTATCTCAACAAAGACTTAGCACTGGATTATTATTTTTATCCAGTTTCATTACACTGGAAAACAATTATTTTCCGTGTTTAAAATAGGTTTCCAAAATAACATAAATTTCTTAATAGTATAATTTAATTCATCCAGCCAGATTGTGCTAAAAAATGAAAATAAAACAAAGAATTAAATGATCTAAGCTCTATAAATTAGACTATGTGAAATGAATCCCAAATATTTTGAAAATGTATAGAAATAAATAAAATGATCATGAATGAACCAAATAAAAAAGGACAATGAATAACTAATAACAGATTACCTATGTTTTTGTTTTTTTTAATATTTATTAATCAGAGTCAATCTCCTCTAAAGCATACATTTCATTGTCATTGAATATTTCTGTAATTATTTGGATTATCTTGCTGGCTAATGAGAAAGAATCAACACTTGTTTTATCTAGTATATCATTTACAGTAAATAAAAAAAGTAACTTTGCTATGATTTCTTGAACAGAAAACCCACAAACAATGTCACTGTGAATGAAAGATTTGGTTCCTTCAAATATGTTGTCCTTCAATGACTGAAGTCTTTGTTGAACAATGGCTCTCTCTTCTCCTATTTCTCTTCTCATGTCTAGTTCATTATCTTCATCTCTCAAATTCAAAAATGTTTCCTTTGCAGAATGCTTTGACGGGCAACCATCACTTTGACATTTGCACATTAATTCACAGATGTCACAACAGAGGTGATCACAATCTCTTGTGTGTTTCTTAATGTGAGCTTCATTTAGAATTTTTCGCCTACAGGTACTAGTACTTTTAAGAAGCTTAATCACATCATCATCCACCTTTTGTAATTGATTTGCCTTGTAGATAATCAGTTCATTTGATGGGGATCCATCCCTGCCGGCACGGCCCATCTGCTGCACCAAATTGTCAAGGTCTCTGGGTGGACCATAATGAACAATGTTATTTAAGTTTTGAAAATTCACTCCCATCCCTGCTGCATTTGTACATATTAACACTTTTATACTACCATTCGCTTCATTCATGTCTTTACGGATTTTTAGCTCTACTGGTCAGAGACCAGAAGAGCTTATGCGATAGTAATGCGTCCGGCGTCCGTCCGTCTGTCCGTCTGTAAACAATTTTTCAAAACGCTACTCCTCCTACAATTTTAGTTTGATTTCAGTATAACTTGGCACACAAGTAGACTACACTAAGATACATAGAATAGTGCATCGGTTTTTGATTGCGATGAACGGTGTTGCCATGGTTACTAAAAATAGAATTTTCTGTGAAATTCCTTAAAAACGCTACTCCTTCTACAGTTTTGGTCTGATTTCAATATAACTTGGCACACAAGTAGACTACACTAAGATACATAGAATAGTGCATCGATTTTTGATTTCGATGAACGATGTTGCCATGGTTACTAAAAATAGAATTTTCTCTGAAATTCCTTAAAAACGCTACTCCTTCTACAGTTTTGGTCTGATTTCAATATAACTTGACACACAAGTAGACAACACTAAGATACATAGAATAGTGCATCGGTTTTTGATTTCGATGAACGGTGTTGCCATGGTTATTAAAAATAGAATTTTCTGTAAAATTCCTTTAAAACGCTACTCCTTCTACAGTTTTTGTCTGATTTCAGTATAACTTGGTACACAAGTAGACTATACTTAGATACATAGAATAGTGCATCGGTTTTTGATTTGGATGAACGGTGTTGCCATGGTTACTAAAAATAGAATTTTCTGTGAAATTCCTTTAAAACGCTACTCCTTCTACAGTTTTTGTCTGATTTCAATATAACTTGGCACACAAGTAGACTACACTAAGATACATAGAATAGTGCATCGGTTTTTGATTTCGATGAACGGTGTTGCCATGGTTACTACAAATAGAATTTTCTGTAAAATTCCTTTAAAACGCTACTCCTTCTACAGTTTTGGTCTGATTTCAGTATAACTTGGCACACAAGTAGACTACACTTAGATACATAGAATAGTGCATCGGTTTTTGATTTCGATGAACGGTGTTGCCATGGTTACTATAAATAGAATTTTCTGTGAAATTCCTTAAAAACGCTACTCCTTCTACAGTTTTTGTCTGATTTCAATATAACTTGGCACACAAGTAGACTACACTAACAGACCTGCCTACCCTTCCGCTTTTGGCGTAATTCTTCCGCTTTTAACCACAAAATTACGCTATTACGCCTCTTATATTAGTTTTACGCTTTCGATATTTTGGTTTAAAAACAATCATGAACGTCTAACTTTAGAGTTAAAGTACAACCTGCTGAAATGAAATGAGAAGTTATAATATAAGTAATTAATAAGGGACCGGTTCGATAACGTACATAATATACCTAGTTGTTACAGTGTACATGTAAACCGGTATTGCGAACAAGAAAGCACTACGTACGTTTACTATTAAATTATATGTGCAATAAGTACAGCAATTTCTATGCTCAATTTAGTTTATTTTAACCTTGCTAAGAATAAAATAGAGAAGTGTGAGTGTTAAAAAGATAAAATACAATGTTATAATGTATGATCTCTTTAAACATGCAAACGCAAGCCTTCAATTAAGTGATTCGATACGTTTGAGAAAATACTTATGTGATTTGATACGTTTGACAAAAAACTTCATTATGGGAGGTCGCCCGCGTGGCGCAGTGGTTAGAGCGTCTGCTCTAGAGTCGCGAAGTAAGGAGTCAATCCTTTCGTCGCGGGTTCGAATCCCACTGTGTGACGTGGAGACTGGTCCTTCGGATGAGACCGTATAAACCGAGGCCCCGTGTCGCAGTAGGTGCTGGCACGAAAAAGATCCCTCGCTGCTCAAAGGCCCTGGGTGCAGAGCATAGGACAAAATTTGTAGCCCTCCACCGGCAAGCTGTGACGTCTCTATATGGGTGAAGAATTCTCGAGAGGGACATTAAACAACATATAATCAATCATTATGGGGGTACCGTTGAACTGAGTTTGATATAGGATACTGGTATTTTCAACACTTTTGCCACTAGATGACTAGAAAAAGAAAAGTTTCTGACATTTTGTATAGTAATGTACAATTTCTGTTGTGTTGAAAGAAAATTAATCATTATAGTACACACCAAATAGGAAAACCTGATTGATTACGCTTTCACCTCTGAAATTCCACCAAAAAATGTCCTGAAATTACACCGTTGCAATGAAAAGGGTAGGCAGGTCTGCACTAAGATACATAGAATAGTGCATTGGTTTTTGATTTCGATGAACGGTGTTGCCATGGTTACTAAAAATAGAATTTTCTCTGAAATTCCTTAAAAACGCTACTCCTTGTACAGTTTTTGTCTGATTTCAATATAACTTGGCAGACAAGTAGACTACACTAAGATACATAGAATAGTGCATCGGTTTTTGATTTGGATGAACGGTGTTGCCATGGTTACTAAAAATAGAATTTTCTGTGAAATTCCTTTAAAAACTACTCCTTCTACAGTTTTGGTCTGATTTCAATATAACTTGGCACACAAGTGAAGAAGACTACACTAAGATACATAGAATAGTGCATCGGTTTTCGATTTCGATGAACGGTATTGCTATGGTTACTCAAAATAGAATTTTCTGTGGAATTCCTTAAAAACGCTACTCCTTCTACAGTTTTTGTCTGATTTCAAAATAGGTTGGCACATAAGTAGACTACACAAAGATACATAAAATAGTGCAATGGTTTTTGATAAGTACAAACCAGTAGAGCTACAGTCTCGACAGAGACTTCTGGTGATCAGTACAAACCAGTAGAGCTACAGTCTCGACAGAGACTTCTGGTTTCTTTAGTGGCATCAGTTGTTTTAGTGTGAGACATGTTAAAATGATTTGTAGGCCCACAAATTTTTAAGAACAGCATATAAATCATAGCACAGTCTTTAATTGAGTTACAAAATATTAGATGCCTCTGTAATTCTTGCCCATTCTCAACTAATGCAGCTGTTAACCACTGAAATACATTTTCTAATTCTACATTATTTTTCACTTTCAGTACATTCAATTTAATGTTTGATCTATCTGGACTATGTAGAATTACACAGGATGGATGACGAAGACACAGTTTCTGCATAATTTGGCGTCTGTGTGTGGGGCTAGCTGTCGCGGTGAGCGCCAGTATAGGTATCCCAATGCAAAGTGATCGCATCTCTCCTATGTGAGCAAACCACTCTCGAAATGGCCCTTCTTGTTGATGTTCTAGCCCCCTAAAAGTATACACAAACTTTCAATTTTAATAAATTAATAATCGATTTCCTGGAAAACTTAATTAAATTAAAGAAACATCATTTGACATGTGAGGAAGTTTTAAAACATGCATTGTTAAAAAGGGGCAATTTCAAGGTGATGCAATTATTTTATATTCAAATGGTTGATGTATTCTTATTTAATTACCATTGAATTACGGTGTGGGCCTCATCGACCACAATCAATTGGTGTTTTGATGTGAAGATTGGATTTCTCAAAACTTCTCTCCATTTGTCATCACCGACGAGAAGTTCGGGGCTTCCTAACACGAACTGAAAATATCCGTTCATAACAGCTTGCTTATCAGTGTCATTCGATACTTGCACAGCTCTGTATCCAAGCCTGTTCAGTCTCTCTATTTGTTCAGACATAATACTGTTCAGCGGAGCAAGCACAGTTGTAACACCATTCTCTCCCAAAACAATCGGCGAGCTTTCGTAGACTAGAGATTTCCCACTCCCCGTCTTTGTCCCAACAAATGTGTCGTTTCCTTTCTTCAGGGCGTCGATCGCCGAAATTTGTTGATCTGTAAGTGACTTCAAATTGAATTTCTGACAAATTCTGTTTACAACTTCTATATCGGCCATATTGGCTGTCTTACCGAAAGGTAATGTGTTAGGCTTAATTTGATTGGTCGAGAGATTGTAATTTCCCCGAAAGACGTCGCTGTAGTCAACCCGCAGATTTCGAATGAAATAAGTCAGGGGTCCATCGGCAACCTGTTGACTCAGGACCCCTGACGTTGTGAAGATGCAGTTGGTGGTGACTTATTGAAAGAAAACTAAAGAATTAAACAGTATGGGATCATAAATGTACGTGAAAAATATACGATTTTATGAAAGAAGTTAGTGCCAAACTCCTGTTTGTTGATTTTTTCGGTCAGTTTTCGAATCACAGACTCTCAGTTCGTGATTATGTTGCCTGTAATTTTCATCGAATTTTGGAGAATATCCAAACTTTACAAAGTGTGTCAAAAACCAAGATTTTATAATATACATTGAGATGCATCATTTAAATATTAAAAATAAATTCATCTTAAAATATTTTTGTAAAAATGTACAGGAACAGTAAGATAAATTTAGTAAGGATGTAGTAGGGGCCTATTCATGAACCTACAAATAGCTACAATTTTTTGGAAGGATAATACTAGTCATTTCCATTTGAGCAGAGAGAAGCTTACAGAAGATGGGGACTTTCAAATGAAGGAGAGTAAGGAAAGTGATTGGGGTATTCCAAGAAGTGAAGAATCAATTGTCATGTGTTTGGAATTCAAGGTAAGATAATCTAACAGCTACATGTATGGTCTAAATATTAGTTTCTACACTTTCAAAACTAAATGCTTGTAATCTAGTACTATAAGTAAAAATACAGCATAATTAAATTTCAAGATATTTCAATATAAGAATGTATTAAATATTGTCATCATGAATTTTAATTGTAGATATTGTACAACTATTCCCACAAAAAGAAGCATTTCCCTACAGACTACCGTGTGGCAACATAAATCCAAAGGACAAACGAGGCCTAGTTAAAAGCCACACTCCTGCAAATTTAGTCTATATTGTTTGCATACAAAAGGACTCAACCAATATACATACTAAAGGAAAAACTCTGCTTTAAAAATTAGACTTACCTGTCATATCCAATGCTCCTATTACTAAGTTATAGTATATTTAATGTACTGAATAGGTTAATTTGAATAAATTCACAATTGTTTAAAAATTTTGTTTTCTTTATTTTTTATCCTCACTCCATTGTAGGTTTTTGAACTTTGGATGTGACGTTAACATAGAATTAACTTTGAACAGCCTTAAGTAGTGTAACTCATTGAAAAAATGTTTGTGTCCCATGGGTATACTTAATGCTAAAAATGTTTTTGTCCCATGGATTTCTGTGATGGAAAAACTCATTGTCCCATGCCTGTTTGTACCGGTCCCATCATTGTGATAAATTTTGCCTGGTCCCTAAAGATCGGTTCGCGGTGAGAAAAATTCGCGATGACGAAGCTCTCGCGGACTTCGCGAAAATTTCTCGCACGCGAATAAAAGTTGGTTTACAGTAATTGACAGTAAATAAATGAACACATCTAACATCAAAATTTAATTGCTGTTTGAGTTGTGGTGCAACACAAGCAGCAATTCCAAACATATATTTTTGATTGTTTGAATAAAAGTCAAGCATCGATACAGAAAGGTAGCACACAAGTTGAAATACAGAAAAAATGGCTGTGTACACAGCATGTTGTTGATAGCCATTAAAATTTGCTATAGCAAAGTTGTAAAACATGTCATTTATGTCTTTTATTGAAGACTTTCTGAAGGTTGTTAAAAATAATTCAGGGCACATTTTGTTATTTATATCACTTCACAGTGCCAAAATAAGGTGCATGTATCTGGTCTCACAAAATATTGACCAGTACAACAGAATGTTTGACTTCATAATACTGTACCAATTGTTGAAAAGTCTGCTAAAGACTATACCATTTAAATGAATATGAAACATTATTTAAAAATGTGAATGTATATTCAAAACGTAATAGTTACAAACACAACAGAAAAACTTCCTACAAATTCGCAAACAAACAAATCTTAAGGCAAAGAAATTGTGGGCATATATGTGTGTTTAAGTCTTAAAATTAGCAGACAATTGTTAAGAAATGCGTATTTTGATGAATCATTGTTATAAAAATATAAAGCAATTTTTACCCTCTGATTCTTTCCACTACTGATTTTGCAGTATCTGGTATATTTCCCACGGAACCCCAGCGACTTCCTCAAAGAAACAACAGTTTTCAATGAAACACACAGTCCAAACCGCTTCCGTAATTTCAAGCACAAAGTCTTTGCAGAAATGTCCGGTTGAACTTTCACATGATAACTGATGAACTTCTTGTGGGCTGATCGGATCGTCAATCGTCCATCACGTATCGCTTTCCTCCGTCTGTGGAAAGCACCGACACCCTCCTCACGATAGCGCTTCAGAAAACGATAAATAGTCATTCTACTCTTCTGTATCCCGTGTTCCTTCCGTAAAACACGTATAATGTCACAAGGTGGGTAGCCTTTCTCGAACAGATCCGCGATAATCACGTTACACGTCTTCATACTCCTCTTCTTGGTCAGCACAGCCATAACTGTTTTGAATTTCAGGGTACGTTGGTCACGTGACATGAAAATGCGATTGAAATTGTCAAAACGAAATTCCTTAAAAATCGCTAATTTCTTCGGTAAAAAGTGAAAACAGATATAGTAAATTTTTCTAATACAAAATACAAATAAAAATTACACCAAAAATTATTTTTTATGACTTAAAATAGCGATGCTGTTTTTTGAATTATTCACTTCCGGCAGGATAATCCTACTTCCGGAAGCATTACTAGCATTGACCTAGTTTCAAACCAGCATCAGGATAAGGATAACTAGCATCAAAACCAGCAAGCAAAGGAAGCATCAAAATCAGCAAGCAAAGGAAGCATCAAAACCAGCATTGATGCTGTAACAAAATTATTTCCCTGCACTGTAGCAAATTAACTAAATTAAGGAACTGTTTATTTTCTGAATTTCATTTAAGGAATGAAGCTTATTTCAACTTATGTTATCTGATACAAGTAGAGCTTTTTTAAAAAGCTTCCCGTCTTTAGCGACAATCTTAAACTGTAAAACTGATCTACACCTATCAGGCCGTATAATTCTTTTGATTTTGTATTTCTACATTCGCTTTTTACTGGCATTAGCCCTACCACGGTTGTCGCTCGGTCATCTCCGTAAACTTTGACTCGCCGAGAGCTTTCGGCAAACCTCGGCTGATTCCATTTCCTTCTTCAAACAAGGAAGGGGAAGAGAATAATAACAAATTGTAAAGCCTGCAAGCAATAAAAATCAAATTTTATTTATAATGAAGTTAAAGAGATCTTTTTATTTTTTGCTATACAATAAATCATGTTATTAGGAATTAATTACTGCTGATTTTGTTGTTCGTTTTGTCATTTTTTTTTAAGATTGAAAATCTTGCAAAATTGTTAAGTCGTACGAAAATTAGATCATCAGAAAGTTATCTCCCTTGCCTTGAACAGCATTTCAACCAATGAAATAATTGAAAATTTTCTCATCATGCATTTTCTACCAATCACAAAAGAGAGGAAGTGCATAGTCCGAAGACTCTAAAAAACTTCAACTATACAATACCGTCTTCCAAGGAAGACGGTAATAACATAACTTAGGGCAGTTAACACTTTATAAGCCGCTTCGCAGTCCCTGTCCCCCCTGGGGCCTGAGGGATGGGGTTATGTTATATTGTTTTGTTATATCTCAATAAGCATTGGTAAATTTTACAAAAGAGTTACATTTTAAACCTTATCTTCCCAAGGCTTCAGGTTTGCTGGTGGTGGACCTCCCCCCGTTTTCTTCTGGTCTCTTCTCCTCTCTGCCTCTCTTGTTTTGTTTTGCTCTGGATGTCTATCCACTTTTTCTTGACACTTTTAACATCCCTCTTTTTAACACTGCAGGCATTTACACTGAAATATAAGAAAGAAGATTGTACCAGACCTGGCCGAGCTATGCGTACAACACTTGACTTGCCTCAATTTGCATGATCCGATGATTCATGCAGTGAAAAGCTTATAGGGGGATACAAGATTTTAATCCTTGGGGTCATCATAAATGACAGACCACATTCAGTTTTGCAACACTTCTATTAAAGCGCGATCTTAACTCAGACCTGCCTACCCTTTTCATTGCAACAGTGTAATTTCAGGACATTTTTTGGTGGAATTTCAGAGGTTAAAGCGTAATCAATCAGGTTTTCCTATTTGGTGTGTAATATATTGATTAATTTTCTTTCAACACAACAGAAATTGTACATTACTAAACAAAATGTCAGAAACTTTTCTTTTTCTAGTCATCTAGTGGCAAAAGTGTTGAAAATACCAGTATCCTATATCAAACTCAGTTCAACGGTACCCCCATAATGATTGATTATATGTTGTTTAATGTCCCTCTGAGAATTCTTCACCCATATAGAGACGTCACAGCTTGCCGGTGGAGGGCTACAAATTTTGTCCTATGCCCTGCACCCAGGGCCTTTGAGCAGCGAGGGATCTTTTTCGTGCCAGCACCTACTGCGACACGGGGCCTCGGTTTATACGGTCTCATCCGAAGGACCAGTCTCCACGTCACACAGTGGGATTCGAACCCGCGACGAAAGGATTGACTCCTTACTTCGCGACTCTAGAGCAGACGCTCTAACCACTGCGCCACGCGGGCGACCTCCCATAATGAAGTTTTTTGTCAAACGTATCAAATCACATAAGTATTTTGTCAAACGTATCGAATCACTTAATGGAAGGCTTGCATTTGCATGTTTAAACAGATCATACATTATAACATTGTATTTTATCTTTTTAACACTCACACTTCTCTATTTTATTCTTAGCAAGGTTAAAATAAACTAAATTGAGCATAGAAAATTGCTGTACTTATTGCACATATAATTTAATAGTAAACGTACGTAGTGTCTTCTTGTTCGCAATACCGGTTTACATGTACACTGTAACAACTAGGTATATTATGTACGTTATCGAACCGTTCCCTTATTAATTACTTTTATTATAACTTCTCATTTCATTTCAGCAGGTTGTACTTTAACTCTAAAGTTAGACGTTCGTGATTGTTTTTAAACCAAAATATCGAAAGCGTAAAACTAATATAAGAGGCGTAATAGCGTAATTTTGTGGTTAAAAGCGGAAGAATAACGCCAAAAGCGGAAGGGTAGGCAGGTCTGTTAACTTGACGCAAACGCCAAACCACCATTACTATCGCATAAGCTCTTCTGGTCTCTGACCAGTAGAGCTAAAAAAAACATATCATTGCAGCCTTTATAGGTTTACTTTAGGTTTTTAGGTTAATTAAATTTACTGTCATATTACCTCGAGAAAATGATCATATGTCAGTATGATGATGTTTAATGCAATTATACAAATATCTTTTCTTTAACCCCCCCCCCCCCAATAAAAAAATATAGATATTCATGAAGGGTTTTATAGGGAAAAAAATATATAAAAAATACAAGGGGATTGGTCATTTAAAAAATCCTTTTTATAGGGAAAAACACAAATTTCTTTTTATTTATATTGGCATGATATGTTTCTCTACAGCATCAGTTTCTAAATATTAACATATACCTCTCCAAGATTTCCTCCCATGCTTGGGTTTTTTTCTCCGTCGTTAAAAAGAGAGAAAATTTGCCCTTTATGGTGTCAATTCTATCTGTGACACAGTCAACTAGGGCGTTGATCTCCTCCTGTCCCCAATTTTCTTTCCTGGACATTTCGGAAATAAATCGTCTGCGCGTCATCGCGTCGTGGTTCGCGCGGTATCCAAGTTAGTTTTTTTACTTTTAAGCGCTATTAAGTTCCTTTACGACTTGCGAGGAAAGTTACGACTTAGGAGCTACGACATGCGATTACGACACGTTTCGTAAAACGGTCCTACGATTTGTCGTAAGATTGGGAAATTTAAGACTTGCGATTTACGACCTTTTGTAAAACGGGCCCCAGCTTCCTTATCTTTTACCCCTAGAATTGGTTTCGGACACATCCTTTGTGTACAATAAATAACGGGTGCCGTCGCTGTCCTCCTTCACTTCCAG